AGCTAGATGGGGAACATGGCAGCAACTCATCCAGTAGGGAACTCTTTCCCTGTCCCAGTTCCCAGGTATGTATTTTGACGTGTTCCAGTGTCTTGAAAATCCGAATCTCATTTTGGTGCAACTCTGGAAAGTGTGATTATTTATTTTCTATATTGAAGATAGAAATCTTTGATTTTGTCCTTCTAGTATACCACCTTTTTCCATGTGTATATTTAAAGTATTCTTTGTTAGTAGCACTCTACTATTTATATTTTTCTTGAGCTGAAGATTAAGGGAAAAATAGAACATTTGACTTTTTTTTAAAGTTTTTTTTTTTTTTTTTCGCGATCTTCCATAATGAACTATAGATGAGCAGTGTGTTTGACCACAGATGCACGTGTGCTGCTTCTAAACTGTCTGTTATTGTCTTTGGTCCAATCAACAGTTAAATTTCCTTTTGTAACGTTGACATGCCTGGTTTTCAAGCAAACACTGCCCTCCTTACACAGCAAGAGTTCCATTAAAATGTCAGTGCCAGCTGACATACTTTTTTAGCCATTCTTTTTTCCTTAGTTAGATCAGACGAATCTGAATTGTTTGCAGTTCATAACGATTTAACTCTCTCAATAAGCACAGCCTTCTGGTTCAGGATGTCGTTCAAATTCCTAGGATTTAGTTTTTGCTCAAGTACAGGTTTTATTTTTTATATTTCTCTTGAAGTTGATATAATGACATGAGTGTTATTTTAGTTTGGTAATGTAAAAATCACAAGTCCATTTGTATGTTCAATAGTATTGCTGATGTGAATCTTTACATAATTTCGGCTCAATATATTTAAATTTGAAGGACATGGTGGTAAATGACCCAAAATGATGACTTCATTAAACTCTTGTGAACATACAGACACTTGTAATACTTGAATTTTCTTTATTTAATAGCTATATATACTCAACTTTCATTCATATAAAAATTGGAATACAATACATTTTTTCTGCTCCAAATAGCTTTTTGTCTGAGCAAGGGAGATGCAGGTTACATAGTACGTTCATTTTCTTAAAAAATTCATTTCTTGTTTCAGCATGCATGCCACGGGACCCAACACTTCTAGCAACGGTAGTACTCCTGGAGTGAGCAAACAGACAACATCATCATTTTCATACGCTTCTTCACAGACAGGAAAAGATTATGATTTTTCCTCTTTGACGCAAGGGTGGTTTGCAAAGCACTAAGAAGCCTAAGGTTTTGGTTCAGTCACAACTCACCTCGCAAGAAATTCACAGAAAATGTAGCTATTGGAGTATTTTCTCCTAAATTACGGTTCATAAACTACACTTAAAAGAGAGCAGTTTCAGCTTTTCTTTGTCTTGGGGGTGGCTTCATTTGTAGTTTTGCGTGTGAGTAATAAATCTGTTTAGATTTAAGTATTCTTTCTTCTGGAGTCTCTCTACTCTTGTTCATGTGGATGAATTCAGATCATAAAAGAAAGCTTATTTACACTTTTGAGAGAAATATAAGTTGTCTATTTTACTGCATGCAATTACGTGATTTATAAATGTTCTGCATATTAGATTTCTGAAGTTTCTGGCTTGAAGACTCCAGTGTGATTTTGTCATCCTTTTTTTATGGGGATATAGAAAATTAGGACCCGATCAACTCAGAAAATTTTAAATACGAGTTTTGCGAATAACACGCTTTAGAAATGTAGCAGAACAATAATTGGAATAAGTGGAAGAAGAAAAGTAAAAGTAATCACTTATCACTTCTTTTTATCGCTAATTTTTGTCTGGCTTCACTTTATTGGCAAGGGTTACCAAGATATCAACCTGCCCGACAATAATTTTTTGGTGACAATCATTTAGGGACGAGTCACAAGTGCATCATTCTTAAGATTGCTATATGCCACGGTTGTTATCATGGACTCAAGTCCACTCTAGGGTTTGCTTTCTATTTACATTTTCATTCATTCATGTATGGTACTTCAATTGACATGTTTTGAGCTCTGGCGAATTGTTAAATGTTAGCCTTGATACGGTTCAATGGCGATAAATTGCTAGATTAGATTAGTCTTTTCTATCTCTTGTTCGCTTTGAAGCATTGCTAGAGGCATAGGCAGTCGAAAATCAAAATAATGATCGATCTTTCTCATACTNAGAGAGAGCTCTAGCTCGAGCAGTTTTAGGATAAATGCATGGGCGGACCCAAGGGGGGTCCTGGGGGGCAGGTGCCCCCCAACTTTTGAGATTCAAATTTTTTTTTTTTTTTTTTTAAATCACGTTTGTTATCGATTAAAATTTAAATTTTAATTTAAATCAAAGTTAACAATTAATTTTAATAACATATTTCATGGAATCCATATCTGTTTAATTTGTATCAAAATTTACTAAAAAAATTGATTTTAATTTCCACCAAATAGGGGTAAAATCAAAATAAATTTGAATTTTAAAATATACAAATTTTAAAAATTCTCCGACGATCGTACGCTAATCAAATCTACAAATTATTTGTATCATTTCGAAACTTATTTCAAGAATTATATTATGGACATATCGAATAGTTCAAACATATATCGAAAATAGTTANTCGAATAGTCCAAACAGATATCGAAAATAGTTAAAAATACGTGAAACGTAAGTTTTAAAAAAGAAGTCTAAATCAGATTTTTTTTAAAAATTCAATTATTTCATTAACATTTATTATTTTTGCCATATAAAATTCTCAATGTAATTTTCATTATTTTATTAGGAAATTTTCAAAAAATTTCGAAATTTTACATCCGAAAAAGTCATATCCTATGTAAATTTTTGGATGTAAAATTACATGGAGTATGATTTTTTTAGACGTAAATTTTCAATTGTAAAATTTTTACCAACTTCTTTGTAAGTTCGATTGTGCCCCCAACGTTAAAGTTTTGCGTCTTCCCCTGAATACACATTTGGCAGCAGTATTTTTTAAGCAAGGTGGAGTCTTAAACTTTATCAAGGATGTCTACATTGTAACAAGTTAGGAGTTCTTTATAGAGTGCATCACACCTTTATAATATAATGATACATTTGACGTGCTTAGTATAAAATAATTTCAACTTACAATTCGGTACCCATTATGTATCACAGACACGGGGAAGATGCAAAAAATAAAATAAAATAAAATAATAAATAAATAAATCACCAATCGTCACAATAGAAGATTTTGAAGTGGTTATTTGTGGGCTAAATTGAAGTCACTTCAAATAAAGTAGGCTAATATGTTGATATCAAAAACCTCCAAATCCATTGAGATTCTATATTCAAATTTATCATATATATAGAATTTTTTCTTCAATCCAGAAAATTTTGTAATGAGATGTAAGTTCGTCCTCAACTGGTCGAGAAGATGTGCAGTTAAGGTCATGTTATGATCTTTAGTTCTTTGATATTGGTAACACATAAAATGGCCATCAATTTGGCCCCTTGGAAGATATGTTTGCTGTTACATCTTTACCTAAATGACAGGCTATGAGCCTGTCACGCAAGCACCTACTACCCGAGGCAATGAAGCCAACTACCATCGCCTCAATTGCCTTTTGTAACAAAGCGTTGAAAATGCAACCTGGCATCTCGTCGATAGCAAGATCTGATTCGATATAACTCCATGAACTTATCATTTCTCCTATCTGAGAACCAACCCTTAACCACATTGGATAGGCCTGGAGTCCGAGATAACGTCCGAAGCCTAACACTTTGAGCCACGTGCTATGGAATTGATGTAACATCTCTACATGAGTGGTTGAGCATCAAATCTCTCATTTTACGATGTTTGGGAATCGTAGATCCATGATACATAAGAAGCGACGTGGTAACACAATTTAGTTTGAATAGTGAGCCTTTGGGATGATATCACGTGTTAAACATGCGGAGAGCTTCAGTTCATCCCCTTTGCCTATAAATACTTTAAGACATGGTGATATTGTGAAATTAGTATTCTCACTCAACGAATAAAAACTCTGATTCTCATTTTTTCCTCCATTCGTGTCACTCCTACACTAGTGATATTTTATAATCGTTTTGTTGACTCGTGCCTCCGGTCTTTGCTTGAACGTGCTTCGATCTTAAGCATTTAACACTGGCATTCCAAGTCAGGGCAGTCACCTTCCCTTAATTCCGGTGAAGAATTAAGTAATCTAAAACATAGATTTGAGGAGTGGAAAAAAGACTATAAAGTTCGGTTAAAGGAAGCGAAGGAAAAAGTACATAGGCTAGGGCACGCCGAAGCTGAAAAACATCGAAGAACATGGTGGGGAAAGAAGAGCAAAAGGTACTAGCACTGAATTATTTCTCTATGGGGTTTCAGCAAAATTTCTGATTATTTTTGAGATTTCCTGCTTCAGGAATGTCCTTAACAGTAGACTAGGAGAGTGACTGTGTGTATTACTCGCTGTTGTTGCTTGGAATGGAAGGGTCAGTATGCAGTTTCTGTTGATTTACTTCCATCTGTCGTCCTTCCCTAGATTTGTTAATGAGTTCTAGCCTATTCGTGTATAGTGCATTGTTCAATTTCTCTGATATATGAAATAGCAAGCAGCTTTTAATTTGCTGTTTATCAGTCTTCTTGAAAACATTTAATCCGCTTTGTAGTTTATGCTAGTAAAAAACATGATTTAAATAAACTCGACCATAGTAAAATGTCCGAATACTATCCAATCAGCTGATCTTCTTGCTGCTTCTCAGTTTTCTTTTGCCTGTTGGTCATATTGGTTGACTTGTTATTACATCATCGTGCGGTGGGCTACTTATTTTTCATCAATAATGAGCATAAAAAGGTTGAGCCTGCACAATGTAATAAGTTGCAGCTTTAGCAAATTCAAGATGTTACGGATTTCTTGGCCAGATCATTAACAGGTTGAATTACTGAAAATAAGGTTCCTTTGCAACCATCCTTTTGTTCATTGACTTGAGAAATCAATAGTTTATAGTTGTATTATGACTACACAATTCAGGCATTCGCATACATTCACAGCACATTACATTGAGCAAATGAAGCTGAATTTATGATCCTGGCACAAACTTGGTGGCATAGACCCATGCATTGTTAGCAACAGGGTTGTCGAGGTGGTCCAACAGGTTCTCAAGAGGGCCTTTTCCAGTGACAATAGCTTGTACGAAGAATCCAAACATGGAGAACATAGCCAATCTTCCGTTCTTGATTTCCTTCACTTTGAGCTCAGCAAAGGTGACCGGGTCATCAGCTAGGCCAAGAGGATCAAAGTATTGACCACCAGGGTAAAGGTTGTTGCCCTCTCCAACTCCAGGAAGACCATTGATTCTAAATCCTTCAACAAGTCCCATTAGAACAACTTGGAAGCCAAGCACTGCCAGAATGCTTTGAGCATGAACAAGATTAGGGTTGCCCAAATAATGAAGTCCACCTTCAGAAAAGATTTGAGCTCCAGCCTTGAACCAAACTGGTTCTTTGAAGTCTACTTTAACCCATTTTTCAAGAACTTCAGGGGTGATGCATCCTAGAGCTCCAAGCATTGCCCATCGCCCGTGGATAACCTGGCAAGTAAAAAAATTTTCAACAACGATAATTGCCAAAGTATTGTTGTGTGTATTATGAAAATCTGTATAACTCAAGTGCTCTGTTCCTAGTAAAGGCCTCGGGATCAGCCGGTAAACCAGCAGTGTCCCATCCATAATCACCCGGGAATTCTCCCGTCAAGTATGACGGAGTCTGAGCCGAGAAGGGTCCTAAATATTTGACACGGTCTGGCCCGTACCATAAATCGTTACCCTGTCAAATATAAGAAAGTCATTCTTTTTTCTTGTTTGGGTTGGGGGTGGGGGGGATGTGCTGAGGAAAAACATACCATGGTGTATTTCCCATTTCCCACAGAGACAACATCCCTAAGAGGGCTAGCATTGTTGGTTTGGCCCAAGAATGGAGTTGCCTTAACAAGAGTGGTAGAGCTGGCAGTGGCAGCCATTGATGCCATTTCTTCTTAAAGTTTAATGCAGTTGAGCTGTTGCTAGAATACAATATGGACTAGTGAGGGACATTGGCTTTATGTTTTAAGACAGTGAGACTCAATGATGACTCGTTAAGATTGCATATATTGAAATTGTGGCTGTTGATAATTACATGTACATCATCAACCAATCACAAGGCATCAAAAGATTACATGTATCTCCAACTCATCCTTCTATCCACAGTTTATCTCTTCTTCTATATTAATTATTACATACGAGAATTGATATTTGATTAAATAGGAAAATAATGTATACCTAGGACCACTATCATTCAAAGGTCGAACATGTCAGTATTTACCACACTTGTTATTGTAAAAACAAGAATCACATTGATTTTTTGCATATATAGAAATTAACTTGTATCCAAGATTGTCCTTTACAGTGGTGCAATATTCACATGATTTGTGATGTAGGGATACTTACAACAATAACAACTCAATTCATATTTTTCTGTAGATTTGAGATGAACTACATAATTTTTTTCTTAAAATTTCTTTTGTTACGTAAATTGACCAACTTAGGTTAGATGTTTAGATGATAAGTAAATTCACTCTCAAAGAGGGTATAGATATTCAGCACTGTATATAGAATTGGAGCTGAGAAATTTCAAAGAAAATCCTGTACAGGGAAAAAAAAAAGGGTAATGGGAGTAGTAAATGAAATTAGCGTTGAATTGTAAAACATGAAAATGCGGTGAGCGTGGATCGAACACGCGACCTTCAGATCTTCAGTCTGACGCTCTCCCAACTGAGCTATCCCCGCGGCTGATGTTCTGAGTCGTACCTACATTCTCATATTTGTATCTCTCTTCCCACCATTCAACAGTACAAAACCCTATATGCATTGCCAGCTGATTTCCACAATGGAAGATTCAAAATTCTCCCCATCCAACAGTTATGTTCTCATTGATTCTTGATTTTCTTCCTGGGTTTACAAAAAAAATAAAATCCAAAGCACAAAAGAAATGGAAAAATTAAAAAAGACGCCTCAACTTTCAAATGCCAGTCCTGGAGCATATACCAAGAATGGTGATGAAAATTTCCAGAGGAAAACTACCAAACCTGTCGACCATTGGGCTTTTTTGGTAGTTTCACAAACTCAATTTCTTGTTATTAGTAGGGGTGTTGAAGTTACTGCTTAATCATGATTAGTTTTTTTTTTTTTTTAGGTGTCAGCGTTTTTGTAAGTTTTGAATCTGATTTCTTTGTAATATGGCTTTCCAATGCGGCTACTGTGTTAATTTTATTAATATGCGAATAATTTTTAAAACTGGGGATTTTGCTGCGTTGATGAATTGATGGCATTTCTGTTATGATCAGACTATGATATTATTTATATATTATTTTGAAGATTTCGATTCTTTTCTTCGTCTTGTTATGTTTTTGTGATTTGTTAGTAGTTTTCTTGTTATTGGAATTTATGATGCATTCGACTAGTCCCCACTTTTATTGTCTCTGATTTACACACTTTCTTTATTTTCTTTTCTTTGTTCCACTAGAGTTCGTTTTATACGCCTTACTCTGCTGATTAATATTTTCAGGATGAAATCGAAGCGCCCACATGGGTTGATCTTGTTCTGGAATGTGACTCAAAGTACCAGGACAAGTAAATTTCTGCAGATTATGCAATTTTATTAAATCCCATTGTCTTTTCTCGGGCAATATGAGGTGATTAATTATGCAGCTTGAATTCACTTTTATTTTTATCCGTTACATTGCAGGGATGATGAGTGGTTTCACACGAGCCACCAGTAAGTATTTTCGAATATTAAGCATTTGACTAATATTCAATATATTTTACTTGGAATGTTTCGCTTTGTTACTTGGTTTAATGATTTTTTTCCTGATAAAATCTATGTAATTTCAGGTTCCATCAGTATTCTTCCCGAGAGTTGATTTCTGTATTTTCTCATTCTGGCGAGCGTTGTGCAAACTCAGACTTTGGCTTGCAGGGACCATGTTCTCCAAAGCTTCCACCATCAGTCTCAAGATCAAGAGGTACTCATTGCAAGAGCATGGAATTGGGACAGGGAAAGTGCAAGATCACATCAAATAAGATTCATCTGGTTAAAAATTTACGCAGCAAATCTTCATCTATGAATTCAAGATCTGATAATGCTATCAAAGGTAAACCGTCAGATGGAAAACTAAAAGGGCACGTGAATTCGATGTCCAATTTAGTTGGTGAAAGCTGCTTAACTGAAACTTCCGAACGAGCTGATCGAGAACCAGTGACTGGTTTCTGTTATCAAGAAACATGTTCAAAGTCTTCAGCTTTTAGTCGAGGTGAAAACAATTCAATGAGCACTATTACATCTGAATCTACGGAACAGCAATCTATGGAGGTATGCAGCCAAATATTTGGCAACTCTAGTGGGTTATTATCATCTCTTAGGGTGAGTCTTAGGAAAAGTTGTGTTACAAGACGAGCATTAAGGGTGGAGGTTAAGAATCAGATGCAATCAGAAGGTCAAACATCTTCTTCAAGTAAATCCAGTGTTGGGTCCTCTTCAAATCCTAGTTCTGATAGGAAGAACCTGACAGTAAGACAGAACAAAGAAAAGACGCCAGATAGTCAAAATGTTATGAGAATGTCTCAAGCTCCAACTTACAAACTGAATAGATCATATGTATCCAGGGCACCATACATTCAAGCTCGGGATATGATTTGTAAGTCTAACCGGGACATCAAACAGGAAGCTACAAAAGCAAAGGTTTTGGTTCCTCATTTAGTCAATGAACGAGCTCCTCTATCTATGGCTAAAATATCTAAAAAGTCAGTACGAGCTGATCATTGCGATAAAACTAATGGTGGTGGTAAAGAGAATGTGACTGGAAGTCTACGTTTGGGTATGAAATCAAGCAGAAGAGAGAACAGAGCTGAACGTGCCATGCCAGATCAAAAAGTAATGACAACGAGACAACAACAGAAAAGTGATGGAAAAAACTTGGTTGGCCTGAAGGTACATTTCTTTGCTGTTCGCTAATTGGCCTGTATTTCTTGTTTTGAATGTACCATTTGAACTGCTTCCATTAAGACAGTAACTCTTGCTTTTAGATTAAGAACTAGAATTTGGTTGTGTCATTCCATTAGACTAAGAATTTCACAATTCGTTTTTCTTAAATCCAAAGTAATTCCAATAATAATTGAATCTTTAACAAAGTACTCATTGTCAAAATTCCTTGACCAGTAATCAGGGGTGGTGGAGCCCGGATTTATAATTATGGGAGCTAATCTTGCTAAGGGGAAAACTCTTTTTTGTTGGGTTCTTGGCAGCTTATGTACAAGAGTGAGCATATGCCCATTTTCAAATATAGATACAGATGTTTACAGTTTCATCCCGATTTACAAATAAGAGAAGCATTATTTGCATGGCAGAAAGTTGGGTTAGCTTTTAAAGTGAAAAGTTACTCCAAACAATGACTGCCTGGCCGGAGAGAAACGAGTAACATTAGAAAAACAAATAATTCTTTAAGCTAAAATACTAAAAAATAATATTTCTAAATGGAGTTGAAGAGAACATCTCTATTTCCAGAGTATAAATTAAATGAATAGGAATTTAGATCTAGCTTAGCAGTTGCTGAAAATATTAAATGAAGATGAAAAGGAAAATGTCTTTGTTCATTTTGTTTACCTAGTAGAGCCAACAGAAGGTGCTAAAATCAATATTATCAGTTATGAATAAATTTTGTTAAGCTCTGTGTGGGGGGGCAATAAGAGTGACGAAATTAAATAATCACAACCAAAATGGTGCCATTTACTTGAAGTATTTGACGCGGTTTTATCCCAATTGAAGACACCTGAAGGCAGATGGCAAGATATAGAGCATGTTTTGCCAAAAAAAAAATAAAATTGCTTTCTTGTGAGCTGGGTCCCACAAATTGTGTGGAGCGAAATCCATAAGCCCAGCTTATAAGCCAGAAAAGCTGGAACCCCGAGCTCATGAAAAAGCAAGTTTCTTTACTAAACATGCTCATGATGTTACTACAAAGAGGATGGTGAACAGGATACATCGATCAAATTTAAAAATTAGAGACAAATAAATATATGGACCAATTGAGTTTCTCCTTATTGCTTGTCTGAATTTAAATTGAAGAAATGCAAGGAATCACAATAAACTGATTGGCATAGAAGATGCATGTCATTTATGTTTTGTGAGACCATATTCAGAATTGGTTCAAAGTTCGTGTTCAATTTTTATCTCTTTGTTGTTGGTTAGGCTACATGAAATTATCTTTGTTGATGATCATACTCGTCTCTCTGTATTGATTCTTGTGGTAGAGACGTAGAGTTTCTCTCTTGACTTGTGGTCACTGGTCAACATATCATTATCAGTCAATTTAGCTCCCTTCAATGACCGAAGTCTCAGTTATTTGTAGCCTTTGTTGTGACACGGTGAATGTCAGTTCGTCTGTGTTTAGCAACAGGCAGTTGATTTGAATTGAACGTAATTGTTCTAAATTATCTATTAATAAACTAAACTGATTATAATTGGCTTTGTACTTTATAGAAATATCTTAGTGGGATTTAATAGAAGTTGTTCAAACGGAGGAGTTTCAAACTGCCTAAGGTAGGGCATTAAGGCCAAAAGTTTAACTGCAATCCAATTTCCCCATGTGCAGGAAAAGAGCAATGATCCACGTAAAGTGAAAAAATCTGCAAATATGGTTAAGAAGGCTTATTTCCGCTAGGAAATCTGGGTATGTATATAGACTAAAGCCCTATCTTCAATTTATGCAAGCTAAAGATCAAATGAAATGACATGATCGGTAACTTTTGAGACCTGAATTTTGTTCTTGCTATCTACGGTCTCTTTGCTTCAAGGAGGCGTGTTTTGTATGCAATACTAGGACTGGGCGACTTAGGATTGAGGATTTTAGCTTCTTATTGTTTCTTAATGTTGTCCAGTATTTTCCAGTTATAGTTTTGAATGGCATTTGACTGAAGAGTTGTATTTTGCTTTTCAAGGTATTATGAATGTCCTTATAAGTATTGAAGAAAGTACAAACCAATGGTAGAACATATTAGATAACGGAGTCAATGGTATGTAACAAGTTTTTTGACGCACCCTCTGAGCTTCATCCGATGAAATGATTAATCAAAAATAATGAGTGGTCATTGATATAGACACTTTCGAGATCCCATTGGAAATGGGAAATACTTCTTGCCTGACAGCTTCGTTCCTTAGCATTTAAGGAAAGTTGTCTACGGCATCTTTCTATATTTTCTTTGTGTACCGCAATAATGTAAATGTGCACACATTTTATATGGTTAAGATTCGTTCCTTGTACCATTTTCAATAGGACCCAGATTTGGACGGTTGAATTACGTGTGCTCAACTCCTCCGTGTTGGTAACGACATGTTACCCAATAATATGTACTCACTTGCCCTAACCTTATATAATATATTTTTTCGCGAACCGACTGTTCGACTAAATAAAATAAAAAATGATAAGTTTTAATGATACGGGTCTATTTATGATTATTTTTAAATTAGGGTACTAAGAGTTCTTTTGATAGCACTTTTGAAAAGTTAATTTTAAGATTGAGAATTCTCTTTTGGACTTATTTTGATAATGCTCTGAATATGTTTTGTGGAGAGATTTTAGAAAAAGTTAAATTCTAGAAAATGTCCATTTATTATATAAAGCAACATATATATGATCCATTAGCCACTTTTTTTTTCTCTATAGCACCTCTCTTCTCTCTCAATCTCTCCTTACTCAACAACAAAGAAAATCAAACTTATTCCCTCCCGTCAACGGTAACATCATCGGAGGGAGATAACACGTCGACAATGGCACGCAGTCTCTTCACCTGTTTTGGCAAAGGCTCTAGGCACCAAAAGCGCGAAAATTCATATGAAAATGCAACCGTGGACATGGCGGTAGAGGAGCAACAGAGAGGCGGGCCGGTGGTGGTGGAGCTCTTCTCATCACAGGGTTGCGCCACCTCTCCAGAGGCGGAGCTGCTCTTCTCAAGGCTAGGGAGGGGTGATTTCGACCTCGAGGTGCCGGTGATATTGTTAGCCTACCATGTTGATTATTGGGATTATATGGGCTGGAAGGACCCTTTTGGGTCCAGCCAATGGACTGTGAGGCAGAAGGCCTATGTTGAGGCCCTGAACCTTGATACAATGTTCACGCCCCAAATTGTAGTCCAGGGCCGAGCCCAATGTGTTGGTGATGATCAGGAAGCTTTGTTATCCTGCATCGCGTCTGCACCGCGAATCCCTGCTCCATCATTCCAGGTCAGCAAATCTAATGTATAATACACTTTGCCCATATTTGATTAAGATAAAAATCAAAATTTTAATAGATTTTGATGAATGTTGATGGAGTGTGTGGTTCAAAAGTTGTGGACCCATGAAATGACTAAATTTTAATCAACTTTTGTAGCCGAATCAAATAGGGACTTTGTATGCAAGTTTTCAACGGTATATAGTTTACTCAAATTCATAAATCACGTCACTTAATATTACTATTGCCAGGCAACATTCCAAAGGACTATGCCAGAGTCCTTGCAAGTGTCTCTCAAAGGAGCTTTAAGGGCTAAGGGAGATCACCAAGGTGCCAATGTCATGGTTGCTCTATATGAAAGCGGTTTAGTGACAAATTGTCCAAAGGGAGTGAACAAAGACCGCGTCCTAGCCAATGACTTTGTTGTAAGGGGGCTTCAAAAACTCTGCGCAGTTAAAGATATCTCTACTAGAAAAATGATTTCAGTTAATTTTTCTCTGTGGGAAGGTTTCAATAGCAGTAAATGTGGCGTCGCTGTCTTTGTAGAAACGGTTTCTCATCAAATTTTGGGTTCGCAGAATTTTCAATTGTCGGATATTGTGTGAGGTTTTAATTTATTAAAATCTCGACAAAGCTTCCCAATTGGTATATGCCAGATGTGTTGAAGTTTAGATGATGTTGTTTTTCTATTTTGTTTCTTTTTTTGGTTCTGTATTTGATTGCAAGGTTATGAGATGAGGATGTATTTTGGTAGAATGAATTTTGATTTGAAATTTGGGATTTTTGAACTTTCATATGACGTTGATTAATACACATGCATATTTGTTTGAATCTTTTTCCTTTTCAAATGATTTGGGTTGAAGAAATAAATATAAATAATTATTTTTCTCGATTTAAAAATTAAAACATTTAAATAAAAATATAAAAGAATTTACATAGTCAGATAGCCTGTAATCCCAGTTCTCTTCTCGCCGAAAGTCAACTTCCAATATATCTAAAATACTAAGAACATTCAACAAAATAATTTCTAAATGGAGAAAATTGGAGCACTTTTGCTATATGGTTTAAAGCGGTGCCCGTTCATAGGCGTGAAATTAGTCAGTGTTGTAGAAGTCTATATGTTAATTGTAGGGTTAAATGCACTTCAGGTCCCCAACTTTGAACAGAGTTGCATCCAGGTCACTTATATTCAATTTGGTGCTATCCAACCATGCAAATTTGGTAACTTATATTCAGTTTGACGCAATGAGGTCATGAACTTTGATTAGATTCCAAATTTGGTCTTGTTTCCACTTTATTCGTCAATTAACTAACGTAATATATTGATCTAGACGTTAAAGCTAATGGATGACTAATATGCACATGCCGCAAAACCAGCCATACGCATCACCTATATTTAAAGTAAAAGATTATATTTTGAAAAATATGAATGAACTAAAGGCACATTTCTACATGTCGACTATCTTTTAATTTAACGTTCACATAACATATTACACGTTAATTAAACTAACGGCAATAGAAAAAAAGAAAGGTTACTAGTTATCAAATTGAAGATGAGTTACCAAATTTGTAAAAAAAATGAAAGTTGAATGACCTCATTGCACCAAATTAAGGATAAGTGCTCGTATGTAACTTCGTTCAAATTTGGATGAGCTACAAGTCTACAATGTACTTCACCTATTAACCATGTTCTAAAAAACGCGAATATGCACCACCTAGACGCGGAGAAAACGCGTCGAATTCGGTGTATGCACGGAAAATCTAATTTTTTTTTTGGTAAAAAATTTATTTTTTTTATATAAGAAAAATTTGAAATTAACCTTTTTTTTAATGATATAGTAAAAAATCTTTTTTTTATATAAAAATATATTTAATATCTTAAAAATAATTAAAATAATATTAAAAATACGAAACGCATTATGGCGTTTATTCTTCGCATTGACACGCCTAAACTTGTGATTCTTAATTTTCGGCCTTGACGCATCGCAACGCATTATGCATTTTAAAACATTGCCTATTAATTGTAGCTTTATTGGACCCATTGCAAGTCATCATTACTAAAATTTTAGGATATTTTTTAGATTTAAACGTTCTATTAAAATCACTAGAGTATAGTAGGGATAATTATCTGATTGGTCACTTAACTTTGTGTATGGTTTTCAGGAAATCGCTCAGTAAAGGATTCAATTATATTTTGTAAAGTTTAGCGACTGACGAGAACTTTTAAAGTTCACAATAATGAAAGAAACTACATTTTATGAAGTTTAATGACTGATGAGAAAACTTCTGGAATTTAGTAACTTTCTGAGAACCTTTCGCAAAGTTTAGAGACTAATCGGGTAATTTATCAATTTCTTTGTTTTTTTTAGTTTTTTCTTTCTTTTTTCTGTTTCCTACTTGATTTTAGAGAGATCAACAGACAATTTTGTCGATCATCCCGAGATAAAAATGCTATTATTTTCTCTAAATTTGGTGATGTTAGAGAGAATAAAATTTTGTTTGAGCGAGGGGAGGAGTAAAAAAAAAGAAAGAAAAGGACTTAAAAAACATAAAAATTGATTAATTACCTGATTGATCACTGAACATTGCGTAAGATATTTAGAGAACTGCTGAACTTCAAAACTTTTCCCATTGACCATTGAACTTTACAAAATGTAATATCATCTATCACTGTAAAGTTCAGTGATTAACTTGAAAATTTTTTAAATTTTCAGTGATGAATGTGATTACATTTTGTAAAGTTCGGTGACTAACTGGAAACTTTAGAAATTCGATGACCAATCAAGTAATTATCCCTAGTATAGTGAGATATCAAATCTAGCACACCGGTGCAAGAGAAATGTCAACAACTCAGGTCTTACTGACCATCCAATAAATTAGAGACCCTTCTCAATGTATGCTTAGAAGATATTGTCAATCCATACTCGTAAATTTTCTTATAATACAGGTAGGAAACAAGATATAGGAAAGAGACAGTTGCCCCAACTCGATTGTGCACAGCTGTAAAGATTGTTAAACTATATAAACATTAACCAATCGACATAACAACTAATTATAACTCTAAATGTTCCAAAATTCCAAATATTCATGAAAAGCATGCTGATTGACACCAGTATTCCTGTGGCAAATATTCAACTCACAAACAATGATCTTTACGAATATTATTCTTCTCTACATGAAGCATTGAACCATTCACATCCCGAGATAAGGTTAGAAAATCCCCTTTGGAGAAAGGATCACGTACATTAATAAGACCAACAAGTACTTTACACCGAATCCACTGCCTCAACCTGCTGCCGAGCAAGATATTTCTCCCGTCGCTCTTTCTGAAAACAAGATATGAAAAGTATGATATGAGGAATGAAATTGGAGAAAAATTAAAGTAGGTATAAGGCTATCACCACATACATATTATAATCTCAAATGGACATTCGACATAAGCGTCAAATACTAACCCATTCATCTATCACAAAACCTTCTCCAACGACTAGTGGACCTGCATCAACCGGAAGCTTCTTGCGTGCTTCCGTGGCAATATCAGCTTCAGCCAATTGACGCTTTAGTTTTTCTAGTGCCTTAAATGACGAAAAACAAAGTGAAATGGTAATAACCTGAAAATCAAGGGAATATCATGTGATGATAAATTAGATGAGAATTGAATCTTACAGGACTAGGGCGTCCTGGATCCAAGAAGACAACTCGCAATACACGCTCAACAGTTACCTGATCCCTTTGTTCATCAAACTGCATGAAATAAAAAATAATGAATACAAACCAATCTAGCTCTAGATAAGCTTTTGTTCAGATTTATTTCCCCGAGGAAAAAAGTCAATATTCTATAACACCTAGAGGAAATCTCACAATCTGCATCCCAAGATATTGAAGCAAAAACCACCAGTATCAGCAGTACTACTTATAGAAATCAGGCCAGGACTGAAGCATTAAGAATTTAAACAATTATTCTTCACAGAAACATGTGTACATGAATTGCAAAAGGATGAATATATGCACTCACTTGAGCAACACATCTCAAATAAAAAATTTAACTCGCAAATGTCGGATGAAATTTAATGAAGATCATAGGAAAAGTGGGACATTAATTTTTAAAAGATCCGTAGTCCCTGAAAACCTTGTACATATAACATAGAAACGTAGTAGCTGCCTCAGACTACATATCTGACAAGCTTGAAGGTGCGGAAAAACATTTTTGAGTTGAAAAGTAACTCTACAACAAAGACAACACAAAAACATTCATCTCCTATTATTTTCTAGTTTCCATTCAATGATTGCTACTTCAACCTCCCAAATAAAACAAGAGGACAAGAAGTCAATCTTTGAATAGATAAATCCAGAAAACGTATAATATTGATACAGAACGTTATAATAATCAAAATGAAACAAAAACAACAAGAAGAAAAAAAGGTGCTTCATTTTTGCAAAATAAAAGTAATTCCATTGCTAAGTTTGATAAATAAATAATAACTCAAATGTAACAATGGCAATTCGGCATGGAATTCATACAAAATCCTATCATGGCATAACTAAACCAAAAAATTAGCTTGATGACAACCAAAAGCACTTTCCCTGTAAATAGAATACAATGGGGGACATGAAGGGCAGGAATGGCTTGAGACCCCTTAATCAAGATTAACAAATTGTGAACGGTTCATTAGAAAAGCATAAACATAACTCAAACACAGCTATCAAGTTTAATTGTAGCAAATGACAAATTGGCAGGCAAGTATTAAGTAGAGCTCAACCATACCAATTCCTTTTAAGGATCACAAGCTCTATTGAATACGTGTGAAGGTAAAGTATTATGCACCTGTCATGTAGTTATATAAATATCTACAATGATAATAATTGTGTAATGAAACTGACGTGAATTATTTATTCTCTATCTACGCTTCTTAAGTATCCTTGTTGGCATCCAAAATTTCATTAGCCATTATGCAGAAACATAGCAGGAAGTTTAAATTCATAGAACTATAAATGGAGACATGAAATCATTAAACAAGCTTAACCATATTCTAATGTGCAACAATGTAAAAAACACAAACTCAATAAGACCGAAGATCCTTGCCTCTAGATGACAGACACCAAGTTTCTTTTGCAACATGCAACACATATATACACATGGACCCACAAGTGACATTATAAAGAACGGAGTCTCAGCAACAACCTTTAAGATAATTGAATAATTACAGTACATAACATCCAATTTCTTCGTAGTTAAATTATTACTTGCCAAATGGCATATGGACAATGACATTAGAGTACAAAAGCTCACCAACTCAGGCACGTAATCCATGCCGTCTTTCACCTTCAGACTCATGATCTTGAACTTGACCTTACTCTTCTGACCTATAGACTTTTCACTGTTCTCTGGGTGCTCCACAAACTTGAACACTGGAAAAAAGATACATGAATTTAACAAGTACATTTCTGGTATTTCAACCTGAACACAAACAAAGGCGAATTTGCATTAAGTTTGACTGCCCAAAAAGACTGAAAAAAAATAATTACCAGTAGCAATGAGGCTTTCTCCAGGAGCAAGGATACCTCCAGGGGGTCGCATATAACAACTTTTTGGTGCAGTAGTTTGAAACTAGAGACAAAATATAACAGTCAACTTTTCCCGTGCCAATTGTCTAGTTCACACAGACTGATAACATATATTGCATTTCAATGTTACAAGTCAGCAGCATTTTTTGTTGTATGAATGTTTATAGGATCTTACATAAACATTATACAATAATTTCAAAAGAAGTTAATATAGTTGCAACATTATACACGGACGAAGAAACCTTTCTGCCATTGTATTAAAATAAGTTGACTCTCTCTCCTTACTTGTAGACAATTTAAAGGGGGGAAAAAAAACAACAACAACAACAATAATAATAATAATAATAATAATAATAATAATAATAATAATAATAATAATAATAATAAAAGGAGATTAGACTAATTAGAAATCAAGATTGTGGATAAAAAGGACTCAAAATATTAATAAATACTAAATACCAAATTAGTAAGGCCAAAACAATACCTTGAAAGCAACGTAAGACTTGCTGGAATTCTTAATCCTAACGGCGCTTCTAGCCTGCTTTCCTGGCTCATCTTCAATATATACATACAGAGAAAAGTATAATTAAACAATTAATTAAGTACATTATAAACAAGCTTAAATGAGGACAGATTATTTTCAACCATATCGATACATAAGTAGTAAAATTAGAAAAGTAATTGTCTAAATACAGGATTGATAGTGAAGACAACGCACAAGGAAAGTAGAGATTATTAGAAGGATCGAAACGTAGTCGACGTCGAGCGGGGAGAATCGATCTGGCGACTGAGGATACGGTGGAGGCAGAGCGGTCATCAGAAGAGACGCCGTTGTGGTGGTAGTTATTCTGCGAGTTGTTGTGAAGATTCTGAGTAGAAGAGGAGGAAGAGGCCGTCGCTGATTGCCAAATCGGGCAGAGCCTCCACTTGTTCTGTTGATGTTGACCATCGGAGATCGCCATGCCTGGTGCTTGTCCGCCTTTCGCCGTCACCGGAATCTGACGCAATTTCCTAGCTGTATTTTATTTCACGAAATTGCGTTGACAATGTTTTGAGATGTCAAAAGTCAGAAAGCAGGATTTATAGTATTCGAGTTGTTATCTCTATATCTGTTAATCGCACGCGGGAAGAAGAAAGTGCGTTAGTCGGACTTTTAATAATGGTATTAAAAGGGATTGACTTGGAGATTTGACGTCCGTTCACACGCCTTGTTTTTTCACTCGTGGAGCAGTTCAGGTGGATGGATCCATTGAAATAAACCGGGTACCTATAGCATGGTTCTTGAAATAAATGATAACCTACTTTATCCTTATTTAATTATCGTAAATTAGGAAAACTTGGTTATAAGTAGACCAATTAAATAAATTTATATTAATAAACGAACAAAACAAAATATTCTCAATAAAAAAAGATGACTATATAATTGAGATAAGAAGATTAAAAACATTAGTCAATATAAATGGGACTTGGAATATTGTTCTAAATAGAATTATTCGGGAAATAATATTGACGTGTGGCATATGATTCAATTAAAAAATGGTTTATTGTACTATTTTATTATGTTCATACACGTCAAAAGAGTCAAAAATTTATTTTATTATGTTCATACACGTCTACGTATCTATTTGAATGTGTGGCCGTGTCGTGTGGGGTTGGTAAGTTTGCATGAGTGGGTTAGTTGGAAGGTAGGAATTAAGAATAATGTTATTTGTACAATGATTATTGACAATTCATGTGTTATTAAGTTCTGTGTGGTTGATTTAGAAAACAATTTTTTAAATAAAAGGTATAGATTTTGACAATTCATGATTGTCAACAAAAGTTATCAATCATAATTTACGTGTAGCATGGTTGAGGAATTAATTAGGTAACTAATGACAATTCCGAGGTAAATTTGACCGTGTGAATACTTAGTTTAATTAATTTGGTTGTACGAATTTTGAAAAATAAGTGTTGACAAAATTTAAGTTTTTGATTTTTATTGATTTCAAAAATTATTTTTAAAATAATTGGTCTAGATGTTGTCATTTTGTAAACTTGATTTGTACACGTGTTATGATTGTAATTAGTTTAATAATACTTGACCGCTGTTCAAATCCATTACTTTGTCAATATAATCGTGTATTTGTAATTTTCTCCTCCCTCCCTCCCTCGTGTTCTTACTCGAAATCTTTGAAGCACATGACAATGACCCTGCAGCGCTTGAACTTAGCATATGCTGCTGTAACGCCCTTAAAATATAGGGCATGTTTGATTCTCTTTACTTTATTTTAATTTATTTTTCATATTCATTTTCAACTACATATTCCTGTATGTTCTTCGGAACCATGTTTTTTAAATTTTAAGCCCACCAAACGTGCACGGTGATCTTTCAATGCATCCACTGTCCCAATGCATGCTGCTGCTCTCCAGTTACCTCTTCTTGTTCCACTCATATACTCGAGCACTTTCCTTCGTATATATGCAGTCAAGAATTATGAATGGATTTTGAAAATCTTGATTCTGTATGTAATTGTGCTATAGACCTAAGGGACTAATGGGGGAAACTGTGTCGAAAGTTTGGTTAGGTAATAATCAAGGGGCTCCAATTGGCTTTAATTTTAATAGTAAATCAAAATGACACTAAAAAATAATTATTATATCTAATTAAGTAGATCAAGCATGAAAAAATTGTTTTGTCGACTCCCAAAGTAATGAATTTTATTATAATTTCTACGTACGAAAAAGCATCTTTACTCTTTCTAAAGATATACGAAAAACTTTGAAAACTAGTACAAAAACATCCCCAACAGCTCGAATACATAACAGTTCTCAGTGATTCCTCGGATTTCTTCAACTTCTGATCTTCCTTCATCTTTTTGCATATAATTGTTGAAGAGGGTACTCCAGAGAGCCTCTTAGTCTGAGTGTATGATCTGAGATTGTTCTTGGCACGTTGTTGCACTAGCCTCATTGCATTATTCCATCTACAGAATCCTTGATCTTTCAGTGCCTCAACAGCACCAATGCTTGCTCCCACTAACCAAGCCCTGCTCGTGGAACTCATTTTATGCTTCTTCTTTTGTACAGATTCAGTGTTTGTTGTCAATGGATATGAACGGTGATGAAGAATAATGGGAAGAATATGAGGTGTTTATAAAAGAAACTGGAGGAGGTTTTGCCAGCAGAAAATGAAAAGCCCCTAGTTTTAGGTGGTAGTATTATATGTTTCAGGGATTGTGGCAATGAATTTAGACCAATTGGGGAGAAAGCAGGTGCGTACCAACTCACATCATATACCACTTGCATATTTTATAAGTGAAAATTATTTTTGGACAGAATAAACCAATAGAGTAGAATATAGGGGTTTATGTGGCCTGGAAGCGAGGTCCAATATATAGGAAGAATTGTAGTTGGGTTCCAAAATTTTCAAAATATTGTAGACTATTCTCAAGTCTTTCATTTTTTATAGTTGGGGTCTCAAATCTTTTATTTTGATTGCATCTAGGAGACAAATTCCACAAAAATAAAAATTGACCTATTTTGACAAATTAAATGAAGGATAAAATTGTAACTTCACATTTTCTCAAATAAAAAAACCAAAAAGAACAGATAAGAAAGAGAGATATGCGCCTTCATCTTCCCCAACCATCCCTATCCCCATCACAACCCAACCCAGATGAAACCACATCAAGCGTTGTTAGCCTTTTGCAATTCTTTAAAGTTCAAGGCAATTTACCAATGAAATTATTATTGTGCAAGTGTAATACTTTGAGCTGATTCAAAGTGAGGAAAATTTTACCTGTGAACTTATTATTTGTCAAATCCATAACAAATAATTCATTTACGTTCATCCAACAATTAGGAAGCTCTCCTGCCAATTGGTTGTCTGAGAGATCGAGCATTTGGATGATGAAGCCCTTAGGAACTGTGCACGAGTGAAAAATGGATCCCCAAAACATATTTTTTGTGAAGTACTAATTCCCTAGAATGAAAAAGAACTTTTGGAATTGGACCTAAAAAATTATTATAACTTAAATCTAAAATTTCAGGACGAATAAATTCTAATGGAAAATTAGAAATTTTACAACTAAAGTTGTTATGAGAAAGATCTAATACTTGTAAAGAAGACATATTCCACAATCAATTGGGTATTGCATCTGATATGCCAGCAAAAGGGGTATAAATTAGTTCAAGATTATTCTAATTGGTCATGATAGGTCAATTTTTAATTTTGTAGGATTTGTCCTCCAGGTGCAATCAAAATAAAAGGTTTGGGACCTCGAACGCAAAAATAAAAGGCTTAAGTATAATCCGCAATGTTTTGAAATGTTCGAGATCTCAACTGCAATTCTCCATAAAATATATTATGCGAATGCTATGAAACATAATAGAAATGCCTTGGTGCACCATAAAAGCTTGGGATGAACAATAGCGTCAACATAATCTTTGACCTGGTCGAGTAGCTAAAAAAACCAGCCAATTCAATTCACGTCAGGGAAAATTTCATATCTAAGAGATTAAGTATGACTAATTTCAAAACTAAGAAATAATGTTTAAAACTTAAAAAATTAGACAATAACTAAATTTATTTATGAAATAATTAATCAAAAAATATATTTTATTAATTGAATATATTAATATCACAATTCTATACTATTTAATCACAAATTATCAAATAATTGGTCACAAATTATTTCTCGATCACAAATAAAAATTTATATGGGTCACAATTTATTCATCGATCACAAATAATAAATTTATAGGTCACAATTTATTCATCGATTACAAATAAAAAAAAAATGAATAAAGGTCACAATTTATACAACATCCAAATGATATGATTGAGTTAATTGGGAAATTGACATCTTCTGTCGTGGGAGCGGGGAAGATTCGACCACAATTTGATCTTTTGACGGAGGATGAAAGAATACCATTTACCCTTATGCTGGATGCCCTCATCTACTTTTTTTTTTTTTGGTAGAAGGAAATGAAATTAGTTGGCTTATTATTGGTTTTTGTTTTTGGATCGGAATAAAATTGGTAGATTGGATTATTATTTGGCTGTCTTTTAACAGTATGAACTTGAATTTAAATGAAGTAATTAGAGAATTTGTATAACTTCAATTTCTTCTTTACAGATGCGGAGGAAGACGAGGAATAGGGACAACGAAGATGGCAAAGAGTGCCAATGAGCTTCGATTGAGATGGTGGTGATGGTTTAGAAGCAATGGAGGTGATGTAGGTGGCGGCACTGTGGTGGTGGTGGTGGTGGGATGGAATGAGTCGAGTGAAGAGCGGTTTGGAGGTCGTGGTGGTATTGTAGTGGTGATGTGGGTGGTGGTGCTATCGTGAGGCTGGTGGAACGGAATGGGTTGGAAGAAGAGCGATTGTGATCAACGATTGGGTAATTGTAACAAATAAAACGAATAAATTGTAACTAATAAATAATTTGCGACCTAAAAAATTTGTGATTTCATAAAATTTGTGTATTCGTGACCAATAAATAGTTGTTATCAATTAATTTGATAATTTGTGATCGAAAAATAACTCGTGATCAATTAATTTGATAATTTGTGAATGTGAAATAAGCCGTGACCTATAAAATTTGTGATTTATGTATGGAAATAAACCGTGACAAATTAATTTGATAAATTGTGATCTATAAATAATTTGTGACCAATTAATTTAATAATTTATAACTGTGAAAAAAAGTTGGGATTTATGATTGAGAAATAAATTATGACCAATTAAATTTATAGAATTGTGACTAAAAAAAAGTTGTGACATATAATGTTTGTGATATGTGAACGTGACATTATATGATTATGTGTAGATAGCTATGACTGTAAATCATACCACAGTAGCTTCTTTTGTATTTATATACACCGGTGATTGAAGTCGGTTAAGTTGTCCAAGTCATACTTTTCAAAACTATATTCGTTAATGCTTAGTCTATTTGAAGTCAGTAGAGACTGCGCAACAAAAGTGTTGGTATGCAAAAGGTTAAGCACAATATCGTTTGCCAATCGTAAACTTAAAATTTTGAATAAAAAGGTTAGGCACAATATCGTTTGCCAATCGTAAACTTAACATTTTGAATAAGTTTTAAGGAGATGAGCTACGTAATAGTGATTCTCTCATATCGATAGACACGTTGAAGAAAAATATAGACACATTGAAACATATGTAGTGAGCGGGATAGCTCAAGAAGTGCAGCAGGATCACATGAGCCTTTTTTGGGGGCCCTCAGGGCCTCATCCACATATAAATATGCCAAAAAATAGAAGAATTAATATGAATAATCATTATCTAAAAATAATTAAAAATATATATATTGTTATAGCATTAGAATTTTGAATCCATTCAATGCTTGACAGCTTTCTTCGTGTGTTCAAGACCCTTGAATCAGTGAATGCGGGGACATAGACCTAGCCGCTACTTTATTTAAACAGCTAAGATAAGAATGCAAATGACACTCAAGGAAAGAATCGAGTCGTGAAAGGTTCGAAATTGGGTTCCAAAGCAAGGTCGGTTCTTAATTATATAATCACCCAAATAATTTATGATTCAAATAAAAAAAAGGTAAAGAATCAAAACTTATTCAAATCATAAATATTTTTATAAAATAATTATTTATTGTTAAAACAATTACCGTAAATTAATTTTGCCAAATCTATATATATATAAAAACAGAAGTGCCGTCAAAAAGAATTTCCCGCCAAAATGTACTTTCCTCTTATGGAATTCTGATTTTAGT